CCTTCCTTCCTTCCTTCCTTCCTTCCTTCCTTCCTTCCTTCCTTCCTCCCTCTCTCCCTCCCTCCCCCCTTCCTTCCATTCTTTTTTTGTATTTGTGAATTTTTTAATTTTAATTTTTCACAATTTATTCATTATATCACTCAATTGAAGTCCCCTCCCTGAACTCCTTCCAGTCCCACCCTCCCTCTTTCCCCCTTATCTGCTTCTCCTAATTCACTGAAAGGGGGAGTTCTCCTCCTCTGCCATCTGACCCTAGCTTATCAAGTCTCATCAGGACTGCCTGGATCCTCTTCCTCTGTGGCCTGGCAAGACTGCATTGCCAGGGGAAAGTGATCAAAGAGCAGCAACTGAGTTCATGACAGAGGCAGCCCCTGCTCCCCTTACTCGGGAACTCACATGGGGACTGAGCTGCCAATCTGCTACATCTGAGCAGGCAGGCACTATTCTTAATGCTTTCTCTATTTCCTCCACTCCTCAACATAAAGTGCTATAATTCTAATTTTACAGTATAAAACCAAGGCACAGAAATTTAAGTACTTGTCCGAAATCATGCAGGAAGTGAATTGATGGTAAGAACACATTAGATGAAGTGCAGTTTTCATTGTACTGTTAAGCACATGAAATGAACATGTTCTCTCCTAGGGTGTGTCTCCTCTTACTGGCCTTTGCACCCTAGAACTGACTCCAGGTAGATATGTCTCATTCTTTTTTTCAGAGTAACCCAGGGACCCAGGCATCTGAGCACACAAAGCAGCCAGACTTAGAACGACATCCATTTCCTGCCCTTGAACCAACCCTTTTTCTCCTTTTCCTCTTCTTACTCACATATAGTTTTAAGTTTGAAGATTTAAGCTACTACTTTATAATTTCCCATTCTACGTATACATTGTCTGTTTTCTCAAAGTTTGAAGATTCGACTACTGCTTTTAATTTCCTAACGGGATAGTTAATGCCTCAAAATGTAGCATCTCTTCAGGTGTTTATAGTCTAGGGGTGTATCTGGCCACATCAGGTGTTGGCTATATTTCTAAGACTTAAGATTAAAGTCATTTGAGGACTGAATGCCTTTCTATTTGGATAGATATGGTGAGATTAAAGATTTTGCCTTAATGAAGCTTGTTCATTTCTGGTCTTCTTTGTACGCTACTCTAATTCTGATCTTTCCTATGAACAATAAACCTGTGCAAAGAAACCTGTAAAATGGTTTGTGAATGTTATATGTGCCAATAAAAACATTAGAAAAGGGAAGTTTGTGGCTGCCTTTGTACTGAAGGCACAGAAATATTTGCACTATATTGATGGCAGGTGATACACATATTCTAAAGAAACAGTATTAAATGTATAGAATTGTATGGAGCATGTTTAAAAGGAAAATTACATTTACTGAGCAAATATGGTGTGCCAGGTTCTATGTTAATCCCTAATCCATTGTATCTCCTATTCACAACAACCTTTTTGTAATCAAATGTAATGCCAAGCCCATAACTACTAGGATATCAAAGAGTGAAGAAAGGTTTGTTGCAGCAAAGTCATTGAAAACTAATGGACTATAAAGGTAGGGCTTTCTGTGCTAGGAAATAGAATGCCTTGAGTCGGTTATCTTGCTGAAAGTAGCTTCAAAGCAATATATAAGGAGATGGAGAGCAATCGTATTAAGAGGAAGCTAGGGGTAGGGGGGTGTCCCTGTGTTTTTTAATTTGGAAGCCTAAAGAGTGTGTGCTTCTGAGAACAGCTGAGTAGGTGCTGGCTCTGGCTAGCAAAGTGGTGATATTTTTCAGATGACTGCAAATACAAGCCTGCAGGGTAGTAGTCATAGCTTACAGGTGTCGTTAATGTTCCCATCTTGATGAGAAAAATTTCTAAACGGCAAGAGTGAATAACTAGAAGTATAAATGGTAAATGAAGTTGAAACTTCTGCTATGGATTTCACATTTATCTTCATCTAACACTTAACTCCATAAGGATTTTACCATCTTTCAGTGCTGAGGATCAAACCCTGGGCCTTGTGCATGCTAAGCAAGTGCTCCACCACTGAGCTATATCCCTAACCTTTGGCTTTTTGAGGCAGTGTCTTATCACATAACAGACTAGCATTTTTTGCCTTGGCCTCCTGAGTATTGGGATTGCAAGGCATGCACACCACAAGGTTCAACTCATAAGGAGGATGTTCTGAGTCAAGCCTTTGCCCGTAGTAAAGGACAGGAAAGTGTAAAAAGACGGGCAAATAGATACATTTAAGTGTACCTTCTCTGGAAAAAATAAAGCCCTATGGTTACAATGGAGAGTCTGTGTGCTGCACATTTCATATATGTTCTCGTGAAGCAATTCATATTAAACTAAGATGTATAAGCACCATCATTCCACACAAATATTACATAACAACAAAGCTGTTGTTTGAACGAAGACCTATCTGGCTTTGGAGAGCATACTCAGGCAGGTAGGATTGGTTTAATACGGACTGCACGTAATAGAAAAATCAGAAACAGGTGAATTAAAGGTTTATTTCTAATCTAAAAAAAAAAGTCTAGGGCTAGAGAGATGGCTACATGACTAGAGCACTTGCTGCTCTTGCAGATGACTTGGTTCAATTCTCAGCACCCACACAGTGGCTCACAACCTTCTGGTAACTCCAGTTCCAGA